CAGCACTGAGAGCTTGATCTCTTATATTTTGAGATGATCTCTGAGGTCAAGATTTATCTAATGTTTATTTTCCAAGCGAATTCGTTCATGTCTGTCGGCCAAGTCGTGGCACAATTTTATGAGTCCACAATCACCTAATCTGACATAGTGACCATCGGAACAAACAGAAATGTCGTGTAGTGTTCTATACTTTCTATGTCCCCAGTAGGGACTGACAGTAGAATTCATTGTACCATTCTCCACTGCATCTCCCTCCCCAACTATGTCTGCCTCTACTATCTTAAAAAACCTCTTTGAAATAACCCGCTTCACTTAACAAGCTCGGAAAAAAGGATTTGAGTGGATATATATGGTATATTGTAGCTCAGCTAATTTAATTGTTCATTCTGTAGTAAAGGCGTGGGACATTTTCCCCCCATCCATGGTTAAAACTGGACTCAGCACAGGACCCTAAAATGTTTCCATCCTCTCTGATGGTTGGCTTGTTTGGAGTAATGAAACACACAGGCCATGCCTTATAGCTAGAATTTCACACGGAAACATCCTACATTTCCTCAGATGCCTTGATGTATATATGGCCACAACATCATGTTAGTCACCATTCCTTTGATTAGTTTCAGTGAGTTCTGAAGGGGCAAAGCACTCCAGGCTCGGAGATAGTCACCCCTCTCTTCCTGCCAGTGGTAGCCATCCATGCATTTGTGACTGCTTTTTCAATTACTGGTAATCAAAGGTGCAATTATTATGACAGCATCCAATGTGCTTTGATGGTGGGCGGCAATCTTCCCCCTAATCACGCCATCGCAGTCATTAATTTACTGTCAGCCCTCGTCCCCGTGCCACGTCGCAATCTCCTGCCTGAGAGGCAGAGAGCTCGCCTGGAAAGTGGAGGAGAAAAAAAAAAAAATCAAAAGGCGAGAGGAGAGACAGAGATTGGTGAATGTGTGTTTGATGGATCAGGAGACAACCTCCTTTTACTGAAGCATCTGAGTGAGTGGGTGCTTTCTCTACACAACATTGTCTTAAAACAAAAACAGCAAAAGAACATCTGGTGAAGAAAAAGGGTCAGATGTGTGTGCTGCTCGTAGTTAAACACACACACACACATGCAGAGTTGATGTTTCATCCAACATGCAGTAATTGTAGCAATCTATTTTCTCTGATCATTTAGCCACAGGTCCCCTGCACTATATCTAACCATTAATTAGTCAGAGGTAACTTTAGGCTTGTTCCACAGAGCCACATGGGGATGATGTAGTACCTGCTCACACCTCTGCTTTGCCTCAGTCTCAGCAATTAATTTATGTGGTTTATTTTTAGACAGATGTCTCCGAGACATTGCCAGTGATTTCAATATTTCCCACAGATATCCCACAACTTCTCACATCACATTAGCATGCAAGACATGCGCCGTCTCCGTCGCTCCCATTACCTCCATGACTGCTTCGTTGCATCAGATGTGCCGCTTTAATAATATCTTTACCAACAATAATGGTGGTAGCTCATTAGTAATATTTTTAATGTAGCTAATGACTGATTCTAGCGGCTCACTTTGTTCAGGTAGTCGGCAGCATAGCTTCTCCCCGCTTTCACGTCGTATCCTTACATATCAGCCGGGATTTGAAGTTGTCATCGCTTCTGAGACAGTCAATTAAAGATCTGAGCTCCCCGTCAGGTGGAGGCTGTCGAGAAAGATAAAACGACAAAGCTCAGATGATGTCGTTTTTCTCTGGCTCTTTTTCTCTGCGTCTGGGCGAATGTGTGTGCTCTGCTGAATACACTTGTGTGTAAGCATAGGGATTGTACAGGGATGCAGCAATTACTTTTTGTGTAGGAGTGTGTATGGAAGTGTGTGTCGCCCAGCAGCAGCAGCAGCAGCACTCTGGTCCAAAAACACCTGAGTGATCTGTCAATGTGTGAGAAAACCAGAGGTAGAGAAGTGTAGGAAGAAACGACTGACAGGGGAGAAGGAGAAAATGGGAATTGAGCCTAAAGATGTGTTTTTGTGTGTGTCTGAGTGTGTGTGTGTGTGTGTGTGTGTGTGTGTGTGTGTGTGTGAGGAAGTGGGGGGTCATAAACAGCTTAGGAGGGGTAGCCAGAGGCAGCAGGTGGCGGCTTTCTGGCGGTGGTATTGGCCTTTTCCCCTTCTTCCCCCCATCTCATCTCACCATGATCAGACTTCTCCCCCTCCACCTCATCCCCTTCCCAAAGCCCTGCCACATCTGACACGTGTAACCAGCCAACCCACACTTGTCACAGAGGAAATGAATCTCTCTGTTTCTGTGTGAGGCCCCTCTGAGCCCCACCAGAGCCCTCGCCACCGCCTCAATCCTCCTCTCCACTCAACCACCTCGCTCCTGCTGCTGAGAGTTAGTGTGTTTCTGCTCTAATGAAGACTTTGGGAGGAGAGGCCATTTCACACTTGATTCCCTCCAACACCCTTGATATGTTTCAGCATTTAGGGATGGAGCTCAGGCTTGTGCTGTTTGGTGTTTGGCTGCACCTCTGTTGTGAGAAACCCAGAGGGCAGAGTGGCTTATGTACATCAAGTGTCTGCAAGCTTGGGAGAAATTGGAGGTTGTTTGGTTCCATATTCACGAGATGAAGGGGGTGTGTGCCACTCACTCAAGCTCCGGCTGTGGTTAATCAAATCTCACTTTATGTTTGTTTGTATTTATGAACTTAAATGAAGAATTCATGTTGACGCCAGGGTCCTTTGGTACATTCCAAGAGGCTTGTGGGAAATTTGACGACCACTGATTTGTAAATCAATAGTTTGTTGATCTCTCCCCAAGGGAAGACGAGAAATACTTCAGCGCTGCTGCAAATATGTATATCTGGAAGCATTAGCATAATTATAGTTTATTTATAGTCTAATATTCTACAACTTGGCAAAGGCTTGAAAGAAAAACACTTGAGGTCCTCTGGCATTTATCAAAGCCCCCACCGATCAAACTCTACGAGCTGCGAATGTCTTTCATGATCAAACGCTTTTAGATTCAAAAACCTCAGATGAGAGTTGGCAATCCAGACTCAAAAATAAGTCGGATTCTGTGCTGAAACTTGAAGAACATTGTTATTTGATCTTCAGTGGAGCAGAAACTTTAGTCTTTGTGTAGCCATTGTTGTGCATCAAGATTTGAGTTTTATGGTTAGTGAATAGACTTTATTTAGAGTGTCAGATTGGTTTCTGTTTTCTTGACTGAAGGTTATACAGGTCTTCTATATCAGCTAAACAAGATCACCATAAGGTTGATTTAGTAGCTGTTCTGGAGCTTTCTGTTATATCACTTGATCTTCCTCTGCAAATTGACATTGTGCAGTTGCCATGGAATTGTAGTTAATTTATTTTCTGAGCACTTCAAGGATTCCTTTTTCATTATGGCATGAAGTACTTTGAAAAATAGATATTTGACCAATTCTACAAATCAAATACAAGTGATATGAATACATATGAACATAAAATGGGATAAAGTTTTATTTTTCTCCATGCTGACAAAAAGTTACAACAGTTCCTCTTTCCGCTGCAGAGAGGGAGGTTTGTCCCAGAGCTTGCCATTGTATTTATACCTTCATTCAGCTGTGAAGCTGACTACAAACGGAGTTACACTTGTGACAGAGTGGGAGTGGGGAGGGTGTGTTTGGGAGGCCCTGTGTGGTTTGATCAAAAACTCCAGAATAGCTACTAAAAGGACCTTGTGGTTTTGAGGAGATTGTTTTGTGAACTACTGTTTTCAAGGTCAAAATGAACTCTGTGTCCTCTATATCCATAAGGGTGCTTTCACACCTGCACTGTTTGGTTCAGTTCAATCAAACTCAAGTTTGTTTGCCCCCCAAGTGTGATTTGTTTAGGCAGGTGTGAACACAGCAATTGCACTCGGGTGCGCACCAAAACAACCAGACCAAGACCTTCTTGAAGAGGTGGTCTCGGTCCGCTTACAAACGAACTCTGGTGCAGTTCGTTTGTGGTGAGAACGTGTTCCGACCTGGATCTGAACCAACTGTAGTCACATGACACATTGTTTGGGTTAAACATGAGCATGTTACAGTCCTGGAGGATTATTAATGTGCACCTCCTCCTGTACTGCCTTAATATGCACATTCAGCATTCAGCACATCCAATGCATCAAAACATTGTTTTCTAGTTGGAGCCGCGCCGCGTTTTCAAACTGTATGGTTTGACTAAAATGAACAATGACAGCAATATAGTCCATGATGAGCAGCGCTAAAATCAACCTGCGTAGTTGTCCCTCCATTGTGACATTAGAAAGTGTCACATTTATCTTGCAAGTGTACTCTTCTTCAACATTGTGTTTACTTCCTGGATTTTTCCCACATGGAAATTCTGACAAATCAAGAGCAGCTTTATTGCGCAAGACATTTGAGCTCATCTGCTTGTAAATGCTGCCGTGAGAACACGAACCAACTCTCGGCAATTATGCAACTTTCTAACAAAATGAGTCCCTGATTCGAACCAAAGCAAGACAACTCTAGGTCTGAAAGCACCCTTAATGTCTGACTTGTCTTCATTCCAGGGATGGCATTGTCTGTTGGTGTACCACTTTATTACAGAAGTATCTCAACAACTGTAAGGATGTATTGCAATGAAATTTGGTACAGACATTCATAGTTCCCAGAGAGTGAATCCCAATAACTTTTGTGATCCCCTGACAGTTCCTTTTGCGCTTCCATAAGGTTGACATTTATGGTTCAAGACAAATGTCTCTAGGATTTCCATGAAATTTGGTATCCACACCCCTTCAATACCTGTGAAACTAATGGCATCCCCATCGTCCCATGCGCAATGTTGTTTGGTGCTAATTAACAAGTGTTGGCATATTTACCTGCTAAACTAAGATATTAAACATGATCACCTTTATACCTGCTAAACATTGGCATTGTGAACATGCAGACTAAACATTTAGCTCAAAGGAATGTTGTGCCTGCCATTAATGATAATTTTCACATGTTTGTATTGTCTGTATTTTCTTTCTTCATAGGAGGTGGAATTGTGTCGACTCAACAGCCAAGAGAAGTTGGGGTTAACTCTGTGCTACAGAACAGATGAAGAGGAGGATGTGGCCATCTATGTTAGCGAGGTGAGTACTTAAATGAGATGTGTTCAAAGTATTGATTTACTTAATATAAGACCATGGGCCAAATGCATAAACGATGTGTACACACAAAACCCAAATGTATGCCTTTTCCCACACATAAACTGGTATTTATAAAGGAAGAAGAATGTGCCTCATGCAGATTTCATACCTGGCACACTCATGGTTTAGCTGAGATGGCTGCAGGTGATAACATAAGGAGGTTAAATATAAGTTGAGAGACGTGTTGTTTGCCAGTTTCACTGACTGAGTTATTATTTTTGCAGGCTACACTGCGTTCTGTAAGATGTCAGTCAAAGGAGCATTTATAACCCTAATTTTAAATTATTCACGAGTGATGAATTTCATCATTTTTATTTACATATGAGCATCATCTCCCTGTTGATGATCATTTATTTTTTTCCTGTGAAGCACTTTGTAAAGTCAGTTTTCACATGAGCGCTATGAATGAATCATTGATCATCTCGACGTTTAATAATAATGATGATTGAGATTTTACAGCGATGATGGTTTCTCAGAAATGTGATGAATTAGTTGTACAGGTGGTACAAATATCCACAGCCATGCGTAATGACAGCTGCACCGGCACCGTTGGGGAACCTCGCTGATACGACACTGTCGGTGAAATCGCACTTTCTTCTTCTTTCGTAATTCTCATTGACAGATCTAATGAGTGGTAAAGCAGCACAAGTATCAATATGCAAACGGATGTTTATGTTCTTTTCTATATCCATTTATGGCGAACTGTGGTGTGTATATGTGCATGTGCGTCCAGAGATTTATAAAAACAGAATCAGGCATACGCACAGCCTATAAATCTGATGAAAAGACTGCATATGCATATTTCTGCCTTTGTGCGTACGCAGTTTTAGTCATGAATCTACAGAGTTTCATGCATCTAGCCCCATGAGTACTGCATCTTCTAACTTAGTCTGCTTTGAGGAAGCACTAACTTTTCACACTTGCGTTTTTATTGGAGAACTCTCTAAATACAGAATTTCTTTTATCTTTGCCCACTCTGCATAGCTCCTGGAGATAATTTAAAAACATGCAACATAAATGTACCCACCTCCTGCTAGCTTTTTTTTTTTGCCAACCACCACAGTTAGGACTGCCAGCTGTTTGAAAATGAAAATATGAACACTCTTGGGGCAAAAGGTATATGCATATTCTACAGAGTTCTTTATGTTTCATTCTTTGAAGTCTCACATTTACACATCATACACTGTTGTAGAAACCATAATTATATGATTAGATCAGAGTGCCTCAGTGAAATGCCTAAACAACTGAGAGAGCTAAATTTCCAAGACTAAATCAACTGTGGCGTTTAATATTAATCTTCCAATTTATGATTTACTTTAGTATTCATGTGAGCAAAGCATGTTTCTCCATTGGGTATAGTAATTTTAAAATTGAACTCTTTCATCATCCAAAAATGACATTATTGGACAGTTTGGCAATGTTCTAACTGCGCGAGCACACTGTCGTCTACCAACATGAAATGACTGCCAAAACAAACAAAAATACTTTCAGGTCTGTCTGAGTTGTTCCCGCAGTCCTTTCAGTACAGCTGACACTAATCATCAAGCTGTGAGATGCATGTTAGCAAAAAGACTCTTGCATCCATTTATCTCCCACTTGTTGGAAGCTTTGAAAATACTGTTTTCCATTCTGCTCAACTTTCTCTGCGATTCGTTTGAAGTTGACTCGGACCCTGCAAGGTGTTCGCTTTGAGAGCTGAGCAGAATACAAATCACTGTGGTCCGTGGCTCTTGGCAGCATCCTTAAGTGTTCGTTCTGCAAAAAAGTAGGGCTTAAAGGTGCGTGCTGCATGTAGATGAGGCGGCTGAATGTCACTGTACACAGGATGTGTTAGAGGAGGTGTTACTGTGATCTTGCATAAGTAGTGAGAACGCATCAACATGGAGTTGAGAACAATGCAAGGTCGTTTTACAACAAATTTAAATTCCCAACTTTGTGGCACTTGATGAATGGCCGCATTGTTTTTTACTTTGTGCTGTTAAGTTTATTTCCCTTTGTTTCCATTGTGTCTCACAGAACAGTGGTTTAATAATGCAGAAGAACAAAAGCAGAAAAAGTATGTTTCCTTAGTTCTATCCACTTTCTATACTAAACAGTACATTATCAGTGTATTAAGGGGCACAGGGGGCTGAAGTCTATTCCAGCGTGCATAGGGCAAAAAGGCAAAGTCCATCCAGGACAGGTCACGTCAGTTTTCAGTCTGTCTTTTCCCTCTCTGTTGATGTGTCCTCCAGATTAGGGATGTCAGTTTCAGTTAACTTTGCTTTTGAAAGCCAGGCACCTGTTAACTGGTAATTAATCTGTGAATTTTTATGGGGGGGTGACGTGAAATACCTGAGGCTTGTCCCTTTAGTCCACTGCTCTGTTGACTCAGTAAGCTTTAGCGCCATATTTCAAAGTGCTATCCATTAAAAGGTGGTGAAATTTTAATGTTTTGTGATGTACAGTAAATGTCTTGCCTTTTAATTTATTTCATTGTGTTGGCTTTAATGACTGGCACAGCTAGCTGCGGTAACATGTGGAAACATAGTGCCCACCCACTGCCTGGTCTCCACTGGTTAGCTAACGGTAGCCTTGGCCACTCACCAGTCACCACAGTGCATATGAGCTAATAAGCTGCACCGTTCATTCAGTGATTACCGCTGGTAGCATTGTCCTTGTTGTGAAAACATGGTACCACTCTTTTGTCTTCCCCATATAGGCGGCTTCATTTAAACCCTTTAGCAGTGTTAACTATGTTAGCACCATTAGCCCCGCTGACACTGCTAACATCGATAACTGCTGGTAACGTCGTTCTTGCTGTGAAAACATGGTACCACTCTTTGGTCTCCACCATATAGCCCTGGTGAGTAAGCGGCTTCATTTAAACCCTTTTGCATTGTTAACTATGTTAGCATCACTAGCCCTGCTAACACTGCTAACTGTGCTAACAGTGATAACATCATTAACTATGCTAAAGTGGGTTTGTGGCTCAAAATTTAACTGCTTACTCACCGGGGCGACATGGGTGGAGACCAGAGGATGGGCACAATGTTTCCACAGCAATGCTGTTCGGTCAGGACGGTGTTATCAGTGGCAATCGTCGAACGAGCGGTGCCACTATCTAGCTCCCACCAGACCAATGCTTGCATATAAAGAAGCACCAGACCCCGATAATGCACAGTGGCAGTAAACTGAAGAGTGGCAAAATTACCCTTTAGACTTACATATGTAACTGGTCAAAAATATTCTGTGGTTAACCAATTAGTGGTTAACCTTTGACATCCCTACTCTGGTTCAGTCACTGTTCAAACACAGACAGGGCCAAAGCTGAGTCAAACCCAAGACCTTTTTGCGGCTCAGCAGAACAGCAACCACAGCCACTCTGCTGCTCACAGTGATATGTCAACAATTAATGGATTCCTATATTTTAGTTTCCAGTTGCAGATTACTCAGGGTTTAGGTGCTTGCCCCATAACTGCAGAAAAATGACCTTCAATTTCCTCTTTTCCCTCCATTCCTGTCGCCAACGTTCTCCCAGTTTAATGAGTGGTCCTCTGTGTAGGAGTGGACTATCATGAAGATGGAGTGCCTGAGCACCTCACCATCTCCCGAAATCCCGCCTGTTAGGAAGGAGTGAAACGAATGGCCCCAGACACCGATTGATTGGCCGATGAAAGACTGTCCTGCCCCCTTGTTCACTGGCATTAGTTACAGGAGGAGCAGGTGCATCATGTCTAGAGGCTGAGTTACAGGCTGTGAATGCTATATTCAGAGGCTTTGGCTGTATTAACATGCCAGAATATAACACCTAAGCAGGGTAACATTGAGGTCTTAAATGATAAAGGTGATGCTCAGGGTTAGAATGGCTTTAAGAACTGACCAGGCAGCTGCAGGAAAGCCATTTGAAGTCTAAGGTTTTCCCGTGTCGGCACACCTATTGTGTATTTTTCACATTATTAATAACAGTGTTGACATGTCCAGCTGGGTGATGTCTCCATAATGATTTAAAACATCTTCAGGCACTCCCTGATCCTCTTGAATGAAGATTGAAAGTGTTTTAGAGGCATTATTTTGTTTCCTCTGCCTTCACAGATCAGTCCAAACAGCATCGCCGCCAGAGATGGACGCATCCGAGAGGGGGATCGCATTTTACAGGTACAGTAGGACACTCTCTCACTGGTCCCCTCTACACCAGCTCTCATTAGATTCAACATAAAAACACGCTTTTATTTTGTCGCACTCAACCACTGTCTCCCAGCACGAGAGCCCATTCATTTTTAATGGCAGCACATTAAAGGGGGAACTCGCCCCCGCTGTGACTGTTAGAGGGGGAGAAATGCCCCCCTGGCTGTTTTAGTTACCGACTCAGCACCAACAGGGGTTTTTAAGAGTTCTGGTTCAGGATGGCGCTGTGCTGCAGCTCACTGCCTCCTGTGGGATAGCTGAGAGGCTATGACTGTTATTAGCCCCTAGCTTCATCTTCAGGCCTGAGATGCAGAGGAATTCTGCTACCGACCAGGAACAGCAGTTGTTAGAGCTGAGGGCTATATAGTGTTGCCTCTGTGGGTTACATGGGCAATTACTGTTTTTGTTTAGACAAGTAATAGCCTCTAGTTGCCATGCAAAGTATATTATCACCATATTAAATTATTATGGCAACATTTTCCTATTTATACATTCAGACAGAGAAACATTTGGCATCTTTTTCAAAGCTGTGTGTTTGGCCTGATTAATATCAGTCTAATTTTCACTGTCTTTAAGCTCTGTTTTGGTCACCACCAACTCCTGAGGGGAATACAGGGCTCTTAAGCTCTCCAGATGATCTTAACCACTCTCCAAGATTTATCAGAGCTTTTTCACTGAAAACAGCCTGCTGCTGTTCGAAACATGAGTGATGAGAGTGTGAGGGTGCTTTCAGACCTAGAGTTTGCTCGCTTTGGTCCAAATCAGGGACTAAATTTGTCATAAAATTGCATTATTGGCTAGAGTGGGACCAGATAAAATGGCAAGAACCTGGTGAAATGGTCCGTATCATGATACAGAGTTTATAGTTCAATATATTGTGATAGTGTTTTTAAAAAAAATCTAATTATGGTATAAAAAAACCACACCATCATAAGCAGAGAAAAGTTGGATCTGCATTTGTCTTTATTGTAGTTTCTCTAACACCCAACATCACAGCACAATCTGAGCAAAGAAATTACCATTTGTCTATCAGTAAAAAAAATAAGTGCTAGCAGGATTCTCGGGTAAACAAATTAAGAAAAATCAATGGTGTTTTTGTGAATCAATACAGTATCACAAAACATAGTACTGCAATACTCAAGTGTGTCGAAGTTTTCTTACACCCTTAAGTAGAGCTAGGAAGACAGTACAGTTTGGTGATGATCTCCGTGGGTTCATCCCTGTAAAGACCTTCTTTCAGATTACAAATCATTTGATCCATCAATATTAAAATACTAATTAGTGTAGCTTTGGCTGCAGATTAGCAATTTAAAGTAGTTAACTGGGATATGCAGGGTACAAAATTAGCACCATCCACTAGTCAAAGGCTGGTAAAAATATGCCAGTGGCTGGTAGATTTGCTTTAGTCAGCTATAAACAATGATAATCTAGGCTGGTAGAATTTAAATATTCACTAGCCACATGGCCGGTGGACAAAAAGTTAATTTCACACCCTAGGGATCATTTTGATACCACAAATAGACAATGTGAAATATTCTAACAGGGGTGAGGATCTATAAATTGGATGCTATGCAGAAAATGTCTTTTAATCAGTACAATAGAACATTGTGAGATGGGAAACGAGAGTAAAGTCAAGGGAGGAGTAAATAGTCTGCGCAAGTGATTATTTGATGCGTGGGGTGGATGCATAAGCGCTGTTTTTAATTGTCTACCGGTGTCTACCATGTGTTGTGTGACTGATTTGAGCCAGGAGACGGCGTGTGTGTGTGTGTGTGTGTGTGTGTGTGTGTGTGTGTGTGTGTGTGTGTGTGTGTGTGTTTGTTTGTGAGGCAGACCAGTACTCTGGCACTATTATCCACCAGTGACAGGGCCATTACTCTGCCTGCAAAAAGATGGACGCCCCCTGTCAGTGGCCAGTTAATTGTACAGCTAGATGCATGTGCGCTGCCGGATACTTTGGTGAACACAACAGCTCCATCGGCCCACAGCCACTGTCCCATTCATAATCACTGCTGGGTCCTGCTTCATATTAGGGAGCATCACAGAGTGTTTACAATTTCCTCAGGAAAAAAAAGGCATTATTGTGCAGCGCCACTTTCATTGTGGTACTTTGTTTTTAAGGGCCTTTGTATTGGAGAGAATCAAGTTTGCCTCGGTGTGTGGGGGAGTGTATGTAATTGCCTGTGTTCAAATATTTTCACTTGTGTTTACAATACATGTTTGCTTGTTTGCGTCTGACTTACCGCTGAGTGTGCTAATCCTGTTTGTATGTCCTCTTCAGATTAATGGCCAAGACGTACAAGACAGAGAGGAAGCAATGGCTGCACTCTCCAGTGACGAGAGCCGGAACATCATACTGCTGGTTGCCAGACCTGAGATGCAGGTTAGAAATGATCACACAGTTACCTCACACTGACATACTGTATCTTTAAGCCACTGACTAAAACACCTACTGCGGGCCTTAAATGGGTAAAAGAAGCATGCAGTTCACATAATACAGCCCTGAAGGTTTGTCATTTACATTACATTTGCTTGGAGTAAACCTTAGCAGTCTGGGGTAGCCAACCCTCCCCACTGCCACAACCACTCCTAGTGGAAGCCACCACTGAGACACCTCATCATGTTTTATTTTTATGTAGCGCCACTGTAATTGACTTCCAACGGTAAGCCATAAAAGCTAATGGCATGCTAATGTGGAGTGAGTTCAGGCCCAAGGCCGATGGCGAATAAGTGAAAGGACTCTGCCGCAGTGCAGATGAGCCAGGAGCGATAGTAGACTCTTTGTAATTAAACGTGTCTCTCAGTAGTAAATCTGAAGTCTTCAGATATGGATCCCATTTGGTTCACATCGAGCAGACAAAGAGATGATGGATGGTGTGGAGCAAGTGGGTCAGAGGTGGCAGTCTTATGTCCATTAAATTGTATTGGCTTGATTTTAGGAGTAGAAAGCATGTTTTAAAGATGAGATGTGGCGTTTTGTTGGTTAATAAAAAGAAAAAGGGGAAAGCGTATCAGTCAAACACCATATCATAATAATTCTTGCAGTTTCTTATTTCAAAACCACGACTGGTGTTTTTTCTCCCCCAGAAAATCCTATTTGGGCACCCATTTGGAACATCCAACTATTTGTTTTGAGACACCGTGTCGCCACAAGCTTTAGCCCTTGACAAATAACACTCACCCCTTTCTCTCTCTCCATATGCTTTCTTTCCTTATTCACCCTTAGCTGGAGGAGGCCTGGCTGGATGATGAGCACAGTGAATTCCTGGAGCAGTTGAAGATGGAAATGTTGGAGGAGCAGCAGAGAGAGGAGATGGAATTGGCTGCCTTACAAGAGGAGCAGGAGAATGAGCAGGTCAGACAGCAGCATAACATGCTTTGTGTAACTGGATTAGCAAGTGAATAACAAAGCTTTCTTATTAGGGTTTAAGAATTTCTGGAGAACGTGTTTATTTTTATTTACTTAAGAATAAAGCTCCCTAAAAACTAGTGAGTCAAAAAGCAATAGATTTCAATTAGCCTTCCCCCTGACTGACAGATCATAGTAACCAGTGTGTTATGTACATCACATCAGCAGCCTGATCAATAAGTGCTTCGACTGTATTAGGTCATTACTCACCATCAATATTAACCCGTTCTTTAAAATGACTACAGATCTAGCCGACAGCAGAGATAGAATCAAACTCTTTCTTTGCAAAACAAGCTTTGCCCTTTGAAATATGAATATAAAGTAATGATAATGAATATTTATGCAAGGGGACCGTTGAACCATTTAAATTCCAAAAAAATAGTAATCATAATTTAAAATTCTGTTTTGTTTGGAGGATAGCATGCTACAAAAATCCATATAAATGGAACTTCAAAGACATGGCAGAGAGGAAACAATCCCTGAAGTAACAGAGCTGTATAACAGAATTACACACAACAGCATATGTAATCCTTCAGGAGAATGCAGAATAGGGCTGCACCTCTTGAACTCTTGAACACTGTAGTTCTGATAACTTTAGTTTACTGTCCTCATTTCATTTAAAGCTATAGAACCCCATTTCTGCCAGTGAGATGAAAAAGTGATCCTGTAAGTTATCATGAGAAACTTCTCAAAATGCTCAAGATGCCTTGTATTTTAAAACAGTGGTTCCCAACTGGTGGGTCGTGGATCCATTCTGAATGGGCCGCAAGTGACTCGAGAACGTGTCGAGTTTGTAAAAAAAGGAAACAATTTATCGACAACGTTGTCAAATGCAAGTACAATGCTGGATATAGTAAACTGCGTGGACCTTAAATTAATGACTAGGGAGAAATCTGGACCAGTTGGGAACCACTGTCTTAAAACAATAATGACTTATCAGTGGTGGGCGATATATTAAATGTAATCGATGTATTGCAGTTTATTCCATGTGGGATGTGTAAAATGACTATATTGCTAACGTCGAGTATAAATTGTCACTGTTTTTTAAGCAACCGGCTCTCTCCCTCTCACAGACACACACATAAAGAAAGGCTCACAAATGTGATACACCACACACACGCGCAGTCCGCCCATCCAGATCACTTTCTCCCAAGTGATAGTGTGAGCAGTCGACGTGTGTTTCTCATCTGCAGGACTCCAGACCACTACTATTTAGTCACATTTTGCGACTATGGAGCACCACTGCGACTTGCAAATATTATTAATATATGGACTGGGGAGCTGTTAGATTCTTTCCTGCTTACAGTGAATAAATCATCACATTTAACGGCACCCCAGTAACAGTTTAACTTCATGAGACCAATGATAACGTGAGCAGAGGAAGCGTGTCTTTGTACCTGTAGGGCTCCAGACCACAACTAGTTAGTCACATTTTGCAACCATGGAGCACCAGTGTGACTTGCAAATATTGTCAATTTGTTTCCAGCTCAGTGAATAAATCCTTACATTTAAATACGCAGCGGCAACAGTTAAACTTTGTGCTAACTGTGAGCAACTGTTGACCACAAGCTTCATTTTCACAGCAAAAACATTAAAGCCATATGCTGAAAAATAAAAGCACCAGTGGTTCCACTTTGATTTAATTATAACAATACTTAACTTTATTATAATAGTGCATTACTGAACTTAATTATGACAGTGGTTACTTTATTTTACTTTATTGTAACTAGTATATTTAATTTTGTATTTAAGTGGTCTACAGTACTTTAGAGGACATTTCAAAATATCACAATATTTTTATAAGTAGGGCTGTACCATATGGCTTAAAAAAAAAAAATCGTAATATTTTTAGGCTATATCGCAATACACAAAATAAATATTTTGAAATCTCTAAATTACTGTAGACTACTAAAATACTAAATTAACTACAATTAAAATAAATACAATTAAATAAAGTGCCTACTATCATATAATGAAGTTCAATAAAGGTAAAGCATTGTGTTAATTAAATAAAGCAAAGCAGAACTACGGCGCAACAGTTGTTGTGAGCAGTTAGCAGAAAGCTTAACTGTTACCGCGAGGCCTTCAAACAGGGGGATTTATTTACTGTAAGCTGGTAACAAACTAACAGTTCTCCAGTTCATATAGTATTTGCAAATGCACTGGTGCTCCATGGTCGCAAAATGTGACTGCGAGTCATGGTTTGGAGCTGAGCAGGTACAAAAACACACCTCACCTGCTCACACTATCATTAAAGTACTTAAGTTAAACTGTTAAAGCAGCGCTGTTTAACATGGATGATTCATTCACTGGAAACAAACTAACAGCTGTTCAGTTCATATATTAATGTATGTGCAAGTCACACTGGTGCTCTGTGATCACAAAATAGTCACAGTCTGGAGCCATGATTTAAAAAAAACAACACACCTCGCCTGCTCACACAGAGGAGAGAATGTTCTGAATGGCAGGAATGTGTGTGAGATAGCATGTTTGTTAGTCTTTCTTTATGCATGTGCCTGTGAAAGGGAGAAAGACACAGAGGCCGTTTACACGTACACGGTGATTTTGATAAACGGAGACATCTTCCTTCGTTTGTGCCCTTCGTTTACACGCAAACGGAGATTTCTCCTCTGAAAACGAGTCTTTCTAAAAACTCCGGAGTGGAGATTTTGGAAAACTCCGGTTGCGCGTTTGCATGTAAACTGAGATAAATGCAGATAAACGGAGTTATAGGCAGCCGACGTCACAGTATGCGCCGGAACTTGCGCCTGTGTAAAAAGTGTGACCTATGTTGCTATGGTGACAATGGATACATGGAAGGCTTGAGCTTCTCGTTACACTGCCACCTACAGGTTTGGCATGCTCTTGTGTATATATACACGGGTAAGTGTAAACGAAGATCTTTTTGAAAACGGAGACGGTGAAATGTCCGTTTATGAAAATAGCCGGCGACGTGTAAACGGCCTCACAGAGAGTGAGAACTGAAACGCCAAAGTGCTGGTGATGGTCCCGATATAGCCATTTTATATACGTGGAATAAGCTGCGATACACCTAGTATATTTGACATATCACCCATCCCTATTTAGTATCTCAAATTAATGATAAGTATTATCAAACTAATGTATTGCGGGTGTTCTACTTGGGATGTGTAACATGACTATGTCTAGAACATCAAGTGTAAACTGTCACACCGTTTTTTTAAGCCACTGGCATGAGACCTCCTTGGGCGTTTTGAAAATGACCAATCAAAGGAGCGGAGACCCCAGTCACTGTCCCCTGCCTCCACTCTCAAAATGCAACTCTTTGCATTGCGCTACTTTTGACATCATGCAAGTGCTGAGCAGAACTGAGCGGGTAGGGAGAGACGAGCGCACACTCGTCACAGCGCTGTGCTCACAGACCTCATTTTATGCGTGCAGAGGAGAAATGCTACCTCGCGAGGATGCTTTTCCACTTGCGGATACTGTTGTGTGTGCGAGAGGGACACAGGAGAGCCCGAGAGAACCAAAACACAGAAGCGAATGTCATACCCATGGATAAAAAAAAACGTGACAATTTATACTGTTTGCGAAATAGTCATTTTATACATGGAGTATATTTGACATATCGCCCTACCCCACTTAGTATCTCAAAATACAGATGTAGTCTCACAAAATAGTGATTTAGAATATCAAACTAATAAGGAGCCTTCTCAAAATAATGACTTGGATACATTGTCATTATTTTGAGAGCTTCCTGTTATTTTCAGATATAAAAACAATGACTTGGCATCTAAATATCATGAGAAGCTTTGAGAATTTTTTTTATTGAGAAAGCTCCTTAGTTTGATAACGCTTGTCATTATTTTGAGATACTAAGTAGGGGTGGGCGATATATCGAGTGTACTTCATGTATCGCGGCTTGTTCCACAAGTGATATATAAAATGACTATTTCGCAAACATCGAATATAAATTGTCACAATGACTTAGATACGTTGTCATTATTTTGAGAGCACTTCAAATTATTTTCAGATATCATTGAGATACAATAGCAATGACTCTGCGTCTTAAAATAATGAAACAGTTTCTCAAAATAAAAAAATACTGACTTAGTAATTATTTTGAGATACCACCTCATTTTTGAAACAGTTTCTCATTATCCTGAGATACCAAGTCATTATTTTAAGACACACAGTATTTGTTTTTCATCAAACTGGCATAAAAAAGACGGTGGAACAGTAAACTACATGAGAAAACACAGTACCATTCAAACTTCACAACCATATAAAACAGTATGTTATACCTAAACATATTTGCAGGCACACCTGCACATTACGAATAACAAGTCCCCTCGATCGATATGATAATAACAGTTGATCCTTAGTATCATAATTCTGCATGTGTTGTAAGTGCCATATATATATTAAAAAGTTATTCAGGATGGTCTTGTTCATCTTTTTTTCTTCCAGAGAGCAGAAGATGACAAGCCCACCTGCTCCACACTCCCCCATCATAAGGATAGTGTACGGAGTATAAAAGACAGAATGGAGAGCTCGGAGCATAATGTCCTGGCACACATCCAGAGACGTTTGTCCCAGTGCCTAAGAGACAATCGGGACACACACCGTACCACCGGCTCCACGCGACTGGAGGACAAAGAGGATGACGATGATGATGACACAGAGGGTGATAGTTTCCAGCAGCTCTTGGAGCTTAAGTGTCAGATACGTAACAGCGGTGAATACGATCTGTTCTACAGCCGCCGCAGCACCATTGAGTGCAGCATGGGGGAGCAGGGCGGAGTACAGCACGAGCTACGTATGCTCAACGAGGAGCTGCGCAGCATCGAACTTGAATGTCAGAACATCATGCAGGCCCATAACCTTCGCAAGGGACAGCAGTCTCCCTCCACGGGCCACTCTGCACCCTCAACCAAAAACCAAAGCCTCCATCGAAGTGACCCTACAAGAAGTAAGCTGGCAGATATAAATGAGAGGCTGGAGAAATCAGACAAGGACAGCTCCAGTGCCTATAACACAGCCGAGAGTTCACGGAGCACCCCTCTAGCAATGGACCGCTCCCCGGAACACTCACTCCAGAGGATGGTTAGTCTTACCAACCAGAGGAACCTCTGCAGTGGCCTTGCCACTGGCTCTTCACTAAGCCCAAGCCCCATCCCAGCATGCCGTGCACCAGTCCCAGGGAAAAGCAGCAGCCCTGACCACAGAAATCCCTCTGAGTCGACTAAGACAACTCAGGCTGATGAGGACAGCAGGGGGACATTAAAGCAACTTGCTTCCCAGATTCCTTACTTCTCTCCATCTCACAGTTCCCAGCAGAGGCAGATCAACATCCCAGCTCATGCACGCCACTACCAGAGCTACATGCAGCTGATCCAGCAGCGCTCAGCTGTGGAGTACGCTCAGAGCCAGCTCAGCCTGCTCAGCGTCTGCAAAGAGCCTCAGAGGCCCATTAATGAGCCCAAGATGGAGTGGAAGGTCAAGATCCGCAGCGACGGTACACGCTACATCACCAAGAGGCCTGTGAGAGACAAGATCCTGAGGGAGCGAGCCCTAAAGATTAAAGAAGAGCGTAGTGGGGGAATGACCACAGATGATGATGCAATGAGTGAAATGAAGATGGGGAGGTACTGGAGTAAAGAGGAAAGAAAGCAGCACCTGGTCAGAGCAAAAGAACAGAGGAAAAGACGAGAGTTCATGCAGCGTAGTCGGCTGGAAAGCTTGAAGGAGAACCCTCAGAGCAGCAGCGAAGGTCGCAAGGAAGTCAGCATTATAGAGCTCAGCCAGAAGAAGATGATGAAGAAACGCAACAAAAAGATCCTGGACAACTGGATGACCATCCAGGAGCTGATGACTCATGGTACTAAGGCCCCTGAAGGGACCAAGGTGCACAACGCCTTCCTATCAGTCACTACTGTATAAAAAACACACACATTCTACCCCATGCGGTATAATATACTTGCCTCGTTCAATGTGGCGTTTTTATGAGGACAATAGGAATATTTTTCACACTTTGTAACCCAAAAAGCATTTTGTAAAGAATTTATCAGTGGTGTCATGGCATTTTCTTCATGTTTTTCAGTATTGTTTTTCACATCACTCTGCGGGAAAAACATTTTTCTATGAAATTATGACTATATAGTTATTTTATTACTTCGCTCTAAACATTTTTATCTTTTCACTTCTATTTTCATATTTATGTTGTAACCATAAAACTCAAACTGGTTGTATGAGCATCTTAAGAAAAGTTAAGTATTTTTCTTTGTGTATTATGTACACTTGCCAATTGCAACACTCAATGAATCAGTGGGTCTCCTTCCTTTCACCTACTTTTTTAATACTCATTTCATAAACAGATGTATTTATCCTTTAAAGCTTAAATCAGTAACTCAGTGTTGGTGAGTGGTCATTGAAATGATGTTCATGACTTATGGTTTTTGACTATGGACGAGAAGTTGGACTGGTCACAAAGTCAACCCTACAGATATCAGAAAATGATGAGAGCTCAAGTATGTTTCACACAAAGAAAGTTAAAGTAAGGTACACATTTCAGCTTTAAAGGGATATAAATATCTTACATTCCAATTATAGTACTGTATAACTATGGCAAGAATGTGTTTAATTGATAAAATGTAATGATTTTGAAATAAATCCAATGACCTGAAGGAGAAAAAAATCCCTTTGGTTTCACCACAATTTGCCATATCTGTTTTGAGGGGTAAATTCTTGAGGTCTTACATTACTGAACATTGTAAATTGTTAATACGAGCAAAATTTTCTGGTCAACAAATCAAATAATTTTTGCTAGCATCATTTTAAGTATCAGCAATTTTATAAATGCATCTTTTGAGAGTTCAATACCTCATGTAATAGTGAAACTCTTCATGTGTTGTTTCTGTAATTTGTGAACTTGAGCCACTTTGTTTTTTTACAAAGCTACGAACAAGGAAACAATACTTCAGAAGCTGCCATGCTGACTTTGTGGACACAGGGAATATGTACTATATTATCATACTTCTAAAATAGTTTGAGATTTTTTTCCATCCAAAAGAGTCCAAAATATTCTGACTCATTGCCAGTGCTGCAGCTATGGGTAAAACTGATTTTGTATTCAATTTTATTTTTGCTTTATATTTTTAATTTTTTTCTACATATTCAACAACAGATGGACCTGCTCATAGCTTTCACATACCAGTATTTTTACATCATTCAGATACACCTTCACTCAGCATAGCCTTAACAGCAAAAACTGAATCAATGATGCGTTTGTGTGGCAAACTTATTTCACACACAAACTGTCTCTGGATTATTCAGCCTTATTCATACATTGTATAATTTGAGGTTTTAGTAACTGGGAAATATAAGATATCTAGTCATTACTGATTTGTGTTTGCGGTCACATTCAACATGTGTTAGGATGATTGCCACTGAGCAGGACTCAGACACAGCATATAAGATCATTGAAAAACTAAACTGGTGAAATGAATGGGTTGCCATTTATCAACAGACTTTATAGTCCAGTTAGATGTACAGTATACTCATTCCAAATGCCTCATTTTTAACTGAAATATTGTAAATTTGAAATTTTAAACCGATCCCTGTATTTGTTTTAAGTCAATGTCAATGGTCTAATTTTGAGTAATGCGTAGTTGGCACATTTGTAGCCGGGTAAAATGTGTGATAATGGTGATCTTTGCAAAAGAAATGATAATAAATTATTGTTTTTTGGTATAACATCGCACTGGATCATGTTTCTTTAATGCAGACATTTCTGAAAGAACAAAAATCTGCTGCTAGGTGTCTGAACTGTGAAGTAAAACATTCGGCTACAACAATCCCTGACCATAAAACTATAATTTAATTATTTGGGTGAACTCAGTAAGTTTCCAGCACACTATTGCAATTAAATAAAGTTATTTGACTTTCTGTGAAGTGGTCAGCGTGAACAGTGTGAAAGAGAGCTACAGTAACAATCTGTGCTGTTTTATTAGTCTTCAGTGATGATGCTGAGGGACAGTGGATAAAAAAGAAGGGGGAGGGTGTTGGGAAATAGTAGCCTGACATCGCCAGACCAAATCACAAATGCAAGTTAGTCTGTTCACTTTTGATTTCCAAGGGGCGTTATCACGGCCACAGATCCAAATGCTTCTAAATGCAATTGGACAGACTAACAACCAATCAGAGCAACAAAACGCGTGACGTAACTGAGCTGTGATGGTGTAGCATCAGTGTCACCATTTATGCCATCAGACTTTGAAACAGTACTTCAACACAAAGTTCTGCATCAACTGCAGTCATCATGGTTGTTTCCTTAAGTGCCTCAACAGCACTCACCAGATCTCAGCCCAGTTTCACACCTATGAAAGATTTTGGACCAACATGCAAGACAATGCTCTCGACCACCATCTCCATAAGATCAAATGATAAAATATAAACTGTCATCTACACATCAAGGCTATGCAGCGACAACTGTAAAGTTTCTGATGCTGTATGTCCTTTTGTCAATTCTGGCTGTTTGTTTTCCTTTCTTCAATTCAAAAGAGATCTCAATGAGATTACCTGATTAAACTGGTAAAGTGCACTTAGAACAGTGCAGATCTCTGCCAGGCAGCCGCATTTCCGTTGCGATGCAGCCACCCGAGCTGATCATGGCCACCTTACAACAATATTTCAGCAGACACGCTGCAGCGCAGGCTTCAAAAGATAAGATATAATTATGAGGATGAATGTATATTAACTAAAAGACAGCCAAATCTTTCACCTGTGTCTTTAATAACTGGACTTTTAATGGTATAGTTTTGTCTGGAGGCTACAGCACAATAAGTAAAAGGTAACAACAATAAACACAACTAATTGCCTTGACTTGCCTTTGTCTCTGACATGTGCTACCACAATAAACTTGCCTTGCCCAAAAAAAAAGACAACCCATACTACATGGCCTACTTGCTTATAGGGTAGAAACACAAATAAAGGAAAAATGACCAAATCATCAAAATCTGCAAGTCTACAAAATCAGGCTGGCAAAGCATTCTGCCTCTGAATTGCTCCCTGTGTGGTATGACGGCACGCAGCCGAGAGAACTAAACCAGGTCACAGCCACGGCAGCCAGAATGTGGTGCAGCTGCGCCCAAGGGAATTGTCTCTCCTGGCTCCCGTACAGTCAAAATGGCAGCAAAGATAACAAACATGAGGATTAAAAGTGGATCATAACATCAGGTATGGAACTAATCTGCAGAGTCACAAGAAGACCAAACTTGTGGCCTGCAACAGATAGTATGTAACACCAGATGTTTTTAGCTGAGCAGATTTCTGGAAAACTTCAACTTCAACACAAGAGGTCATTGACCACACAGTCTCACGTGTACACACAAAATATTAGGGTGATTGGTCCAGTAGTTTACAAGTTTAGCTGCACATGACCAAATGCATGCTGTGAGTTCCACAGACTTGGCAAGAAGCACTAGAGCTGATCTTAAGGCTTGTGGTGCCTGACTCCATACTAAGACACTAACACAAACCAGTGTTGGTTTTCCCTTTACTTTGTCACCTGTATGTTGACTATGCTCACTGCAGTGTCTCTAACGTGAGAATGCGCAAGGCTAAAATGATGTCATCACGTATTTTATTTAAAGTGCAAAGGCTCTGCAAGTTGTCAGTCATCTTCTGAGACACTCCCCATATTAGATTAACAGTTGTGATTGGCCTAACCCGGGCCAGGCCGGCTGAAAATCTATCTGAACAGGAAGGAAATAGTGCCATATCCAAAAAGTTAACAGTGCAAACAACAGCAACAAAAACTACACCAAGTCACTCTGGAGTAAAGACCAGTCTGGTGAAGTGAAACCGAATTACTTGTTCACTGAACACACGTTCACCTCAGATATCTCCTTAGGAGTGACTCTTTTTTCCTCCCCTCTGTGTTAAGTGATTAAACAGAAGGAGATTTCAATTAAAATCACCTTCCACTTGGATGGCTTTGTGTTCATTAAAATGTACCAACCACTTAATCATTGCTATGGCCTTGTCATATGCAGGGGAGAGCTACTGGGATACTCTGGTCTCTGTGTTATCTTAAGTTGTCAGTGTGCTATAGCTGAAATTGGAGTGTCACGGATACACTGCTGCCTGAAGACTGTTCTGTACTTTTGTGTTTCCATTTAACTGAAAACGTGTTCCATTTTAAGAAACTAGTAAAATATAAAAAGGAACCAAGTCTTTCTAATAGCTTTATAAATGTTTTCTTTTGAGCGGAGATTGTTCTTACTTACCCATAGGCATGACGTCTATGTGATTGGTGCCAAGCATTAATTTTCACTGTTTGGTTTCCTTTTGTCTTTTAGTATTTCATATTTCCAAACACTTTGTGTTCAAACTGGCCTGTGAAGAACTGTGTCCAACTCCTTACAAGACAAAAAGGCCATTGTTCACACTGTGAGTAACTACAAAAGCACTTCCTGCTGGCATACTCTACTTAATTTGCATACAATACTGTTTTATAATGCCAAGGTATCACATTTAAAGTGATTCTAAGGTTGTACTCCATGTCAACGCCTTCCATTTCCATTACAGACTGTGGCACTTAAAAGCATATCCATTTATACAGCGACCAAACATTAACATCCAAGTTGGTATTGAAAAGTAGACTCCTGCCATCCTCGGAGCCCATTTGCTCTCCCCTCATTTGTTAATTTGCTCCCTCTGTATAGACGGAGACCATGAAATGAAGGAGGCCAATGAAAAGCCACAGAAGAAAAAGCGGCGCGAGTTGTACCAACCGACGCCAGAACTACCCCGAGTGCTCGCTGGCTAATTAAGTTCATCCCTGAGCCCCTGAAAGACCCAGTCAGGTGTAATTAAAATCGAGCCTGTGACAGCCATGGCATTTGTCAGAGCTACCCAGCAGCTCAAATACCACTACTGACAGAAATGTCAAACAGATAGCAGTGGCTCCTCACCTCTTCAACGCTCCACTCACACAAACACATAGCAGCCATTGCCTCTGTTATGAATGTTTGCTGATAACCTTTAGGATTCCCTGAACAGCAAAAACTACAAATTCTCTCCTATTATTCAACCAGCGAGGCCCATATTTATTGACATTCAGATCCACTTGACACGTGATGGTGCAATCTACTTCATAGTGCCTCCTCTCCCTCCTAATCTCAAAGGCTTGTAACAAACTGGTAATTGCCTCGGTTCATGTGTCTCTCGATGTCACTTTGGAAATTGACGGCAGCTTTGATCTTTGATATCATAACTGCTGTGTTGTGATAATTGGCCCTATCATGCCAGATGTAGAGGTGTGTTTGCTGGTGATATGGACAGACTGCTACTGCTGAGCCAGCTGTTCTGAATTTATATGCCTTAATCAAGCAGAAGACAATAGCTAGTCCGTTGATAGAGGATTATGGGGCATGGAATCATTTAACACCTCCTCCCAAAGTCACTCAGCTTCATCCTCAAGGGAATAGCGGATGTCTGTACAAAATTTCATGGCAGTTCATCCAGCGGGTGAGATATTTCAGTCTGGACCAAAATGGGGGACCAACTAACTAAAGGCTGATTTACAGTTCTGCATAGGCTTGAAGCAGAGCCCAAGCCATAGCCTGCACAAGCAGCATTTATACTTGTGTGGTGGTGTGTCTGTTGCCCTGCAATTACACCTCTAAGATACTAATTGGCAGAGGAGTTTCTATGCTACTGTGTTGGGTGTCTGTGAAGGGCAGTACAGTTTGATTTATTCAAATAAAAGACACATAAAATACAGCTAAATAGCGACAATATTAAACAGAAGTACAAAATTAGGATCCATTATAACTCACAAGGTTATCCAACAAACGTTTCCCCCACAAATACAATATGCTAACGTTAGCCTATTGGTTGTACTCCCTAGTCTGAAGCAGGGAATAATGGCAACATTTGACAAATGTCACGTTACAAAATTCAGCCTCACAAGGTTCACCGACAAAACAATTGTCAGATGTTTTCCCCACATATACAACATCCTACTGTTATTAGCATAAGCCTTTAGACATTTCCAGTTGCATAAATTAGTGTAGCGACTAGCGGTCTTTCCTCTACTCAAGAGGTCAGGATATATTGCACACAAGACCAAAAATGCTATTATACAGAGGCTTTATCGTCTTCACAGTTTATTGTTTCTTATTTGTGCAATTAAAGGAAATAAAGGCTTTGTTTCCTCTGAGAGAAAAGCTTTTCAGTTTACAAAAATAAAACAGGAGGTCTGCTTTGTTGTGAGTCTTAGTTAGATTCTTGGGGAGATGTTCTCATGTTACAGTAGGCTATGGCGTAGGTTACATGTCTGTGCGGAGCCTACGCTGTTGGTACGACAAACCCTGCTTGTCATGAGCAGGGTTAAAAAGGACAACGTTTAAAAACTGCTGTTTGTTTGAGAGAGACCTTTAGACTAAATGTTAAACACAGTGGTGACATTTTTGCTCAGACATTTTTTCTGTGCATGTACTATGAACTTTGGGGACTCAGGGCTGCGGGGAAAGTGGAAAGCGTTGGTGTGTGTGTTGATCACTTCAGACTACAGTAAGTTGCCTCATATTGCAATACTTGAAAATATCCACTAATGCCCACGGCAGTTGGTAGTGCAGAAAAACTCATGCAAACACTTTGAGGGCCTCTGCACTTTGTTTTGCTGAAACGAACAAGTTTGCTGTTTCACATTCACTTCACCCTTCATTTCCACCAAGCAGAAAACCTGG